TTGATTGCATGGAGGATTTCATCATGAGCTGACATCAGTTAGAGAACCACTGGAAAACCTGGGAGTACTGGACAGCTGTTTCGTCCTAGTTTGAGACTCTTCAGCAGTACGCACCCACCGCCACGGTTCGAACCCAGGACCTTCTGGTTACAAGGCGAGCTCGTAGACCATTGAGCCACTGGAACCCGATCCAATGGTCCTTGAATTCTAAGGCATTTAGAAGCAATCAAAATTGCCGAGTCAGTACACATGGTAATAATTGATTTGTATGATTTTTAAGTTGACAGAGTTAAAGTGGATGATTATTAAAGAAACAGTTTTTGTCATTTTAATTCAATTTCAGATTTTCCCGTCGATTGATTGGACCGAAGTGCTCGGTCTCAGGTTGATATGTCGGCTTTTTGTGCAGATGCTTCGACAATGTCTGAGCATTTAATTAGAAGTTAATTTGTGGATGTTGATTAGCAGTGGAAACATCATCATTCACTGCGGAATGCAGGTACATCCAGATGACCAGTCCCAAATAGGACGAAATGCGCATCCTGGATTCCACTGCTAGTTAACATCCAGCATTTAACCTCTAGTCTTTGTAAATGCTTGTCTAAATTGTTTAAGGGAATTTTCTACGCCACATATTTTTGAGTCGTCTTCAAATATGCAAAACTAAATTACAGATGGAAATGTTAGGTCTTAACAGTGTGAGAACAAAACTATCCCACAGCCCATCTCTGAATATCTAATAGAGACTGAAAACATGTGCGCTGTTGAGAATTCGTTAAAAGTTCTTAATGAATTTCGATATAATGTTTCAAAAAGAGTAAAAACAAGACGATTATTATACGTCATCGAAGCACTAGAGACTTCAAATTCAAATCTTCGCTATACTTAAAATCACTTTGTTTTTATTGTGTGACTTAAGTGGTTGAGTTTTTTAGTTTATTTTTGTTTTGTTAATGCTCAAGTAGAATAATTTTATCGTTTTCTTTAAATTTTCGTTCTGCTCAAACTTATCAGACAAATGAATTTCCTAATATAACTGTTTTCCCTACTCAAACACTACTTGTCATTTATTCATGTGCATGAAATGTCACTTATACTTAACGCAGTCATTTTATTTTGTTAATTTTTGATTACAGCTTGATTCCACACCGCAATTTTTGGTACAGGTATGGAATTTTCAGCATGTGATATCGGTAGCCCAAATTTTGCAGGCTGACCATAGATATCAGGTGTGCGTCGGCAGGGGACCGAACTCCGGACCATGTGCATAATCGGCGAGAGCCCTAACCACTGTGCCACCGACGCACACATATTCATAGCTTTAGTTGTTGTGCGCGTCAATGGTTCGGTGGCTGAATACTTGCCAACCAAACACGTAGCCCACGGTTCGATTCCAGGCCGGTAAACTCCTAAACGTCGCTAAACAGGTGTTAAGATCAGTAAAGAGGGGAGCCAGTGTGTGAAACTAACAACCGTACACCGTAAAAGGTAAACATCACTGCTATTGAGACTACGAAGCTCAGCCTTAAGGCCCTGTGTTCCACTGAAAATACAGTGGAATAAAAGAAATTTTTAACTGTTATGTTTGCATTTGATTCCGCTTAAAATTATATGAAATACTCACCATTATGGTCATCTCTTATCATGTCAGCTAAATGTGTCATCTTGCCTGTACTGTCTTAAGAGGATACACATGGAGGACAGAAGAAACATCTTAAAGTAGTTTTCTTCAAAATGTTTCTGTCTGAATAGAAAACAAAGAGAAGTGGCTTGAAGTGTTTTGTTGCTTGACATATATTTACCATTGTACACAGTCGTGAATGTCTTGAATTCTTTCAACAAAATAAATCAGCAGTAACAGTATTTAGTTCAAAAATTATCATGGGGACTAGTGGCAGAGCAACACTGCCCGAGTAGTGGGCGTATAGCAACTAGACATAATCTGATTCGTTGTTTTGCCTGTCTAACGAGGAGATGGTCAGTGTTTATACGGTTTCAATCTTGATTGACAGACCATTAACCTAGGCTGTAAATGGACATTATAATATCCAAATAAACATTGATGTTAACTGATCGATACTAACGCATCACATTTTTAGTATGTTGTCTTTAGTTGTTTATGTGACTGTAGTGATAAATAAATTATTAGTCTGCAGCATTCTTGATTCCATATTAGGTGGTGATCGACTGGTTACGCCGAAGATAGGCGATGAAGCAGTTACACCATTTGACTCACTATCGTGTTACATTCAATTGTTTGCGCATGCACTCTACTCAGCTAAGCAGACATTACTGTCGTACGTTTCCGATCCCGAAATATATTTCTTATTTTGAATAATCACTCTACTGTTCAGAGAGAACTCTAGTAGTATAAAACAAGTACTTTCATTAACGTATTAGCGTATCTTGTCTACTCCTCAACATCTTTCTTCTTCTAAATATCCATCGATCGACTTGAGTCGCGTCACATTCTGAGTTGTCCAACATTTTGGCTTCAGTATCTTGAAAATCCCCATTTAGTCATATGAAAAAGAGAAGACGTTCAGCGAAGAGACTCTTTTCGGCGAATTCATTCACATAGCTGTACAATCGCATTTATATATAATTATTTGAGTGTGTGTGTGTACATGAGGTTTGTCAAAATTAGATAATTGATCAGGTAATAAAAGAATGATCTAATATAGAAACAAAGTTAATTGGACAGCAACTAAATTAAGATTGAGTTAGTAAGTTAGATGACGTAATACAATTGACTAAAATGTTTTAACTTAGGTCAGGTTAGCAACAGAGGTAATTACAGGTAGAGACTAAGTAGAAGTGGGGTAGATAATAATGCCATTTAGATTAGAAATGAAATTGAGCAATTAAGTTGGATGACGTAACATAAATGACTATAAATTGAGCGTTGGTCAGGTCAATTAAAGTGGTAGTGAGGTGTAGAAATTAAATCGGGTAGGGGTAGAGACAAGAAAGTTGAAAATGCAAAATATTACAATTGAGAAGACAGAATAATACCAATGAAGAGACAGAAAAAAAAAATTAGGTAGAATTTACCTTTCAGGTAATAATGTAGGTTAAGTCCATTGTAAGTTTAGTGATTGAACGAACCTCTTCTGTATGCAGAGTTCAGGGCTTAGCAAGTGAATCGCCATTGCTTCTGCAGTTTGAAGAAGTCTGATTCGTACACCTTTTGGAAGACTACTTCTTACTCTGTAGACGACTTTGAAGTTTGTTTGGGGTGCAGCTTGGTGTCCGGATTCTATCAGGTGTTCTAAGATGGAGCTGCGGGGACATCGCTTTTCTCCTTTGTAAAACCATGCTGGTAAGTGTTCGGTGATACGCTTGGAAAGCGAACGCTGGGTACGGCCGACATACCTGGCTCCACACGAGCAGGTGAATTGGTAGATACACATTGATGAGGCCAACAGTGGTAGCTTATCCTTCACGTTCACATGAATCATAGGTTTTGTGGAGAAAGTTAGTCGTAGTTCAGCTGCGAAGAAAGTCTTCTTGAGTGAGCGCGACAGTCGATTTTTTAGTATTTCCGCAGATATATCTCCATTGAATTGAAGGTTTATGTAGAGCGGTTTCTTCGGGACGCTATGCGTGGGCGGCTTTTGTGGCCTAGGATTCATAGATTTTGCAATAAATCGTTCTGGGTAACAATTCTCGACGAGGATTCTCTTGAGATTGTCCAGTTCATCTTCTACGGTGTCCGGGGTACAAATTCTGCGAACTCTGTTGCTAAGTGAACGGATCAGGTTCCGTTTGGTGTATAGGGGTACCCAACTGTGGAAGTTAATCAGCTGTCCGTTCCATGTTGACTTTCTTCAAGCTGTTAATTTATTTCGACAAGCTTTAATTTCATCATAAATAAATTTCTGATATTTTAAAGTACTGTCTCAGTCTTTCTTATTCTGCAACAATACTGTTCACAGTCCTTTCAACCAGTGGCCAAAATTTTAGATCCCTCAGTAGATTAGTTTATGATAAATTTAAAAATACTAATAATTTGCTTTATTCCAAAACAGTACTTGTGATACAGAATGGAATTCTCAGCATATTACTACAGCATTGCATCCATTTAGTACATTAACAACAAATAAAATTCTACATAGATTAAGGGTAATCTCAGTTAGTTTTGACAACAACATATTAGCATGTCGGTAGCAAAGTCAAAATTGAAGGTGGTAGAAAGGTAGGTTTTAGCATATTTACTGGCGTAAGCGGTAACAAAAGGTCGATATATACAGAGTGTGAGAGAACGAAGAAGAGTGTTTTTTAATAGAGTTTGTAAGGAAGAAAGAAACAAAGCAGGACATAACAGAAAACAAAAGAGAAAAGGAAAAGAAAGAAAGAAAACGTTGTACCTATAAATCAAATGAGTTGGAAAGACGAGATCCAGTCGTTCTACTAACTATTCAATAAGTTATAGGTATCACGCCCAATACTTTATTTTGCAATTATTCGGTCACGAATCTACATTGAAATTAATTCATCCTGACAAAACCCCATAGCCTAAATATTGATTTCCAGTTGGTTGATGGTTACCAGATGGATGTTGAGAAGTTGTGGTCAATGGGGTCCACAATGTCAAGGTGAAGTGGATGCTCACCTTAGGTACTGGCTGAAGGTAGCGCTTTATCACGAATTTATAGAAGTTAGAAGTCATGGGTCATTCAATCCTAACCTAAGTGGCTGAATGGCTGATGAACTTGACCTCATAACCTGGAGCTCATGGGTCCGACCTTTCGTGGGGTCATGGCTACGGATTACTGAAAATTTTCAAACGAGGATCAGACAGCTGTCTAATGCTCCTTGGTGTTTAGTGGTCTCTGATTGGTTCAGACGCGTGATAGAATCAACTGGTGAGATTTACTATTTCTTACTGATGCTTTCAAACACTGAATTAATAATTTAACAATAATTTTATATTTACAAATGAATCAACATATTTACGAAGATAAAGAAAAACGAATACAGAGAAAACAGAGAAATTTTTATTCTACTTTATTCCAGTATATAACCATATGGTGTATTTCTAGAGCTGTGATTGCAATAATAACTAATATCAGGCATACAATTATTCCAAGCAGATTAATATGATGTTGTTCTTCCCAGGTAAGTTCAACTGCTTCAGTGATTAATGGACTGACAGCTTCATCATGAGCCTAGAAGAAGAAAACAATAGTACTGTAACAACAGAAGACAAGGGCCAGGAAACAGATCGTTTATTTACTAAATCAACACATATTCATTGATTTTCATGTGCATTATTATAGATTATTGTTAGCAGTCTTCTGATTGGTTGTTTCTGACTGAAAGTTAATCTTGCATCTCTTTGTGGCTGTTTCTTGAATGTCAGAACATCTATATACTCACTGTATCCGCCTATTCAAAGTCTCTTGTGATTGGTCGTTGAATCAGTCTTCGCTCCTATTTTTCTCATGACCAATATTGGGGACGTAGACATTGACGTAAATTACTCTCCATCAATTTGGCTAGCAGCCAGCCCTCACCACAATACCACCTTAGTGCTGCAGGTTAGTGAGAACCTTCCATGGTAGCAAATCAATTCTAGTGAGAAGTCGTGACCAGTAGGGTGCAGCTGGTCAGGTGTGAGGACAAATACTTACCGAAGACATTGGTTAGGGGTCGTGCTATGTCATGAATTGGCAGAAGTTAGAATTGATGGACTGGCCATTGGATCGAGTCCCAGTGGCTTAATGGTCTACAAATTAGCCCGCCTTGTAAGCAGAATGTCCTGGGTTCGAACCGTGGCGGTGGGTGCGTGCTGTGAAGAGTCCCCAACTAGGACGAAACAGCTGTCCAGTACTCCCAGGTTTTCAAATGGTTCTCTAACCAATGTTAGCTCATGATGAAATCGTGTAAACAATTCCGGTTGTGTTGAACACAGATATGGTTATATATGCCCTTGCACTGATAATGAAATTATGCTCCAGTTGAGCACAAATTGCCGCCACATTTTTAGTCTCAAAGAATAAAATCTAAGGAAGTTTATGTCAGCAAGAACACAGCAAGATGCACTCTTATTCAAGATTCTTAGTATTTGAGTCTGTTGAGTTTTTTCCCCACTGAATAGAATATATCATAAATATTCGGTACTAACAGTCCTTCAGAGTAGTTTTCATTCATACATAGGTCAACTGCTATTATACTGATGATGCATACAGGAGAAGTCAAAATTTTAATTCACGTTAGCTGAGTTATATTTTGATTTAGATGAATGAAGTATGTACGCAATAGAGAATTCAGATGGAGACTTTAGAATAATGCTCTGAAAGATGGTTGCTGGAAACCCTATAAAATTGTGCTGATGAACTACATCAAACTTCCTTGACGTTGTCCCTTCTCAGGTTCACTAGATGAATAGTAATGCGATAATCGCGAGATTGAACAATCATCATCTTCAACCCTAAAATGGATACAGTGTCAACACTAAGAACTAGACAACATAACTGAACTGATTAATGTGAATAGCTAAGTCCACTTTTGTAATCAACCTACCTCGTCATGTTTCTCCATAGCTTTACCAATGGCTTTAGCGATTACTGTTGAAATTCGTGATTCTGTTTCAATATCGCACAGATTGGTAACAGTACATCTTTTCCACATTCTGTAGGTACCTTGACAATATCGGCTGTCATTGTGATTACAACGAGCATATTTACTCATATATCCTAATCCCGTTGTGCGACTTTCACCTGCATGTATTTCTTCACCATATTTATAGTTCCATCTTCTATTAGGCATAATACAGTCTGGATTACATGCAGACCATGGAGACCATGACAGTTGTACGATATCACCTCGGGTTCTGTACAGTGTTGACCAACCCAACCATCAGGACAATAGCATGTAGTATTACGGCAATCATCCGCTTCTATTACATCATAATCGTCAATATTCACGTAAACTACCGGGCCTGGGATAAGGGCAGATACTGGTGGTTGAAAACCGACACATATCATCGATTTACAATATGTAGTATTTATCATACAATTAGGGAAAGACAATCGTCTATCTTCACGATATGGCTCTTTACACATGCATGTATATTCATAAGAATCAAATTTCGGTTGACATACATTAGAATTGTTAACTAAGCACGCTTCATTACCAGACAATGTAGCTGCTGGATGTGGTTTATCACAACCGTTCTTGACTTCCTTACAGTTCTCAAATTCTGAATATCCTGTTTCGCATACACATGTTGCACTATTGTCATCATTTATAATACATTGCAGAGTATGCTGACTATCACATTGTTCACATGGATTATTTTCATAGCATTTCATGTATACATCACGTTTTTCCTCATGATATACTTCTACACCATATGCATTTCCTTCTTCACAACTACAAGTTGTATGAGGTAAAATTAGAGAGTTGGATGAATATGCAGTTACAGGCAGTTTAAAATTTTTCCCATCCATTCGATTCACTTTACAGGTAACCTCTTTACCGCATATAGCGCTTTCATCACCACTGCAGTCTGTATTTTCAATGCGTACGCGAATGTTTCTTGGCGTGGTGAAATTCTCCAGTGGATACAATTTCATGCTGAAATTCTTTATTATTTCTTTATTGATATCAGGAACAGTATCATTGGCGTAAATTTCATCTGTTTCAATACTACTAGTTGTGGTAATAGTATCATCAATAGTAAGAGTAGTATTACTAGCACCGATATTAGTGATGGCATCATCAGCAGTATCAGTAGTATTACTGGTTCCGATATCAGGGGTGGTATCCTCAGCGGTAACAGTAGTAGTATCGACACTAATGGCGGCATTATCAGTAGGAACAGTATCATTACTGGTGCTAGTCTCATCACTAGTACTAATATTGTCGCCTGCACTAGTATCGTTATCAGTACCAGTATTATTATCATTATCATCTTCAGTTTTAGTGTCATTAACAGTACTGGTATTATCAACATGTCTTTTATCATCTGTAATATTGTATAGACGCCATGGTTGCTTTAATTCCCTAACTGGAAGAATAAACGAAGGTAATGACAAGAAAATGGCTATTCTGATGAATAACATTTGTAGAGGTAATATAGTATGATTATAATATACAACTTTAATCTGGTGGAATAAGAAATCCTGCTGACCTGTAGATAGAAAATTCAAATTACATCACATGATTTATGAGGAAATCAATGCTTACAAAATGAAACGATATACAGCCTGTATATATTATTATCATATTATTGTTTCCTTTAGTTTCTAGAGAAACATAGGGCTTCAGCCACACGTCTCTATTGCTTTCGGTTCTCTGACAACTTTCCCACTTGGCCACACCTCTGCCCACATGCTTTTATCTCCTCTTCACATTACCTCTTCCATGTTACCCTTATATTGACAACTCGCCGCTTCCCATTCGGGTTCCATTTGAGCAATAGTCTGGGGTGTGATGTCACCTGATGGTTTGTTTTCTCAGAGTATGGTCAATCCACCTCCATTTCTTCCTGCACATTAGTTGCACAATCGGCTCCTGTTGAGTTGGTTCGCTCATCGCACAGAGATCCCTGTTGCTGATGTTTTCTGGCCGGCTCTCTGATCTTGAGTAGTATTGAGAGAAGGCAGTTGTTGAGGAAGGTCTGTAGTTTGTTCAGAGTGCCCTTCGTGACACGGCGCCAAGTCTCTGATCCGTATAGTAAAACTGACTTCACATTGGAGTTGAAAATCCGGATCGTATTTTTCATGCTGAGTGCTGTTGATCTCCACACAGACTTGAGAGTAATGAAAGCTTGTCTTGCTTTCTCGATCCTCGCTTTGATATCCTCATCAGTTCCGTCCGCCTGTAGTTGAAACGATGCTTCTTAGGTCGGTGGGTAGGTGAAGGAGGTTGTTTCTTTCAGATTCCTCCCATTTATGCTGATTGTTGTTTGTTGTTGTTGTTGCTGTTGGTGTTGCCCAAGAATCTTCATCATCTTCCTCTGTTTCGTCTAAGTTCACCTGAAGTCCTATCTTCTCTCGATGTTTTCTCTATCGCCAACTTGTTGCTTTTCACTTGCATATCTTCCATTTTGTGGGAAATCAGACATATATCATCGGTGAAGTCCAGATCCTTCAAGTTTTTTGTGTGGATCCATTTTATGCCTATTTCCTCGCTTCCCGTCGACGCCATGTGTCACATTATCCAATCTACCGCAGTAATGAAAATCATTGGAGATAGTGGGCAGCCTAGTCTTACTTCTGTCTTCACTTTGAAGGATTCTGTGAGTTTCCCGTTGTGGATTACTTGTCATGCAGCATTATCGTACAACTGTTGGATGAAGTGTATAATTGTTGGCGGCATCCCGTAGTTTATATATATATATATCAAACCTGGTCATTTGGGATTTGGGAAGAAATCTATGAACATTTAATTGAAAGCCATAATGTCTTAAATGACGTTTAAGTCATAAAAGACTTCTCGCTACCACATATATCTAAGGTCTTTTGGGACTTAAATCTATTTCAATCATACAACATTAGTGATTTATCAACTAACTTTCTTAACTTTTCCATAAGTTATTAATGATACTTTTCATGGCTGTGAAGTATGACCTCTTTTTGACTTCAGAAATCTATCATAAATTCCGAAAATGGAAAAAAGTTAAGGGATTTACGCAAGTTATAAACACATTTCAGAATATACATTAAACGGAATTAAAGCAATTATAACCATGAAATACTTTTTAATGAAAACAGTATAAATTTATAAAACTGTTAGTTGAAAGTTGGTTTGGCAAAGATGCATACTGATCAGAAAATATACCAGTATGCTCCATATCTGGTCATGTTTCATATCCACAAAGTAGGTTGGTGGCAAACTGAACCTCAGCCTACATGATCAACGATAAGCAACTGTAAATTTCCCTGCAAGCAGAATAAGTCCACACTCACAAGCACTAAACATTCCTTCTGTATTCACACTTCTATATATATTTTTCGTTGCTTCCATCAGAAATATTTAATAAATATAGCTTTTTCCATTTCGTTTTATATAAACAGAAATATTCTTATAGACTGAATACAAACCTTTTATTTCTCTTTTAACTGAACTAATAACAGATGTGTATTGAATAAATCATTTTCACGTATATCAATTTCTTACTCTCATACAATAGAATGAACTGTTAAACATTCACTGTGTGATATTGATGTGGTTGAGTTCTCCAAACCATTCTTATAGTAACGGAATTAGTGTTTGGGAAATCCCTCATAATCTATAAATTTACAATACTGACTCTTATTCGGATATTTCCATTAACTTTGTAGTTGATTACAGGATTTCATTATGAGCTGGTATCGGTTACAGAACCATTGGAAAATCTAAGAGTACTGGACAGCTGTTTCGTCCCAGTTCGGGACTCTTCACAGCACGCTCCCACTGTCGGGGTTCGAACCCAGGACCTTCTAGTTACAAGGTAGGTGGTTACCCGGTATTCTAATGAGAAGTCGTGACCCGCAGGTTTCAGTAGGTTGAGTGAGCGGTCGTGCTATGTCGTGAGTTGGCAGAAGTTGGAATTCATGGACTGGCCATTGATCGGGTCCCAGTGGCTTAATTGTCTACGAGCTCGCCTTGTAACCAGAAAGCCCTGAGTTCTAACCCTGGTGTTGGGTGAGTACTGATGAAGAGTCCCCAACTAGGACGAAACAGCTGTCCAATACTCCCAGGTTTTCCTGTGCTACTCTATCCGATGTCAACTCATGATGAAATCCTGTAACCAATCAATAAAATCCCTTGAAACCAATACTTGAACAACTGTAATTATTACCCTCTTTTCTCTTAGACTATATATCATTGTCCTAACGTTTGTATATCACCTTTTGATTTAATCCTTATTTTTTGTCTTTGTTCATGTTTTAATCCCTAATTTAAATGCTTCTCCCTGCAGTCGTATGATGTTGATAATGTATTGTTTTACGATTGTGATTCTGTTTGAATAAAGCCAAGGTTTAATGTGGTGATTTTGACTTTGGACTGTTTTCAGGAAGTGTTTGATTCCTGCTGACAGAGTTTTTTTTTATCCAACCTTGTTGGGAATTGAATTTTTTTTCCTTCACGTTCCCAGTGGAACATAGAGCTTCAAGCTGCAAGCTTGAAATTTCTGTAGCAGTGTTAGTTTTTACAGGATGGGATTGCTAGCCTCATGCCCAACCTTTCCTCTTTACTAGTTTCACTACTGGCTAAGCGAGGTAAAGGAGTGCGTTGGTGGGAGATCAAACCCTGGACCATGTGCATGGTCAGCGAGCGTCCTAACCACTATGCCACCGACGCACACTGTTGAATTTTGTTAAGTGATTTTGTTGCACAGTTATTGTTTCGTAGCTGAGAATTTGTTGGATTTGTACAGCCGACTAACGGTAGTGTTGAGGCGATTTTGCGTTTTAACATGTTATTACTGTTGAATAGTATCACATATTTTATCGCAAATAATGGTATTTATGTCATCGTCGTGATGTTCTGGGACTGTGGGTCACTCAGAGAAGTTTGGTTATCTATACAGTAGAACACAACGATTGGCTCCCTACATTCATATCACAACACTTCGATTTTGGGCTGCTACACTCAGAAACCACAAAAAATTCATCTACCGTATTAAAAACAGTTTCTGAAATAATGACTAGAATACTAAAACCATTTGGATTAGATATAGCACAGAGATCAACATGATCCCTTCTATCAATACTTTGTAGTCCAGAATGCCAGACACCAGAAGAAGACAAAGTCAACACCATCTATAAAATAAATTGAGTCAACTGTGGTAGACTCCATATCGGTCAAAGTGGAGGTGCCCTTGGAATTTGAATTGAAGAACATAAACTAGCCGTCAAAAATACCACATAGGTTCTTTCATTTCGATCCATGTGAACATGTTGACTGGAAAAATGGGGGGAATTTCGAACAGTGAAAATGCCATCTGGTTGGTTCTCAGATGATGCAAATTAACAACCAATCACAACAAAGGTCACCAAGAGAGGCAGCTATATCATTCGTGGGAAATTTAAATAAGTTCACTTCACACTGAAGTTTGCACTGAAGATTTTGTTTAAAAGGTTTACAATTAAACCGCTCAGCTGAGAGGACGCAACCACGTCAAAATCTTCTCTATTATTCACTGTATCATAAGTCGTGTAATTGAAGTCGTATTCCTCAAATACCTTCTTCCTTAACCAGAAGTCTGAAATAATCAGAATTCGCCACGGTCATAATTAGACGTTAAGAATAAATTTCCATCCACTGAAATTTGTTAGAGAGTACTAGGAAGAGAAGGCGCATAACTATGCATTATCACTACTGCTATTACACCCTCTATAAAAAAAATACAGCACATATGCTGCCGGGTCTCTTTTTTGTAATTAGTTCAACTATTTTCGTAACCACATGTTTAAAGGGGAAAAGGTGAATGAATGTTGTTTCAAAAGACCACTAATATTCAACGCATATGTATGTGTATATATTTAAAACCAAGTTGATGTTTTGTCATCACTGAATAATACACTTTGATTGAATAAGATTTCCTTGTGTCCATTGTCTGTTGAATGTGTCATCGCCTGTGAATGACAGTTTTGGTTTCGTTGGGAATCGATAAGTACCACAGTTATAACAAAACTTGGCAGTTTGACTTGCATACTCTTCTCTGCATTCATGACAAAATTTGCTCAGTTCTTTTTCCAAGTTATTTTCATCAGGATGTTTGGGTTTTGCATCGTACTCCTTAGGCTTATGCTTTATTTCTTCTTGCTTATGCTGTTCTCTTGTCGCGGAATCATTTGATATAAATTTATGCTTTTCCTCTTCCTGAACATTGGGCTCTAAGTTTATAAATTGGAGGACATGACGAGTTTGTAATAAAGTCTTCATAAGTAGGTGTGATGTTGAACTACCCGGAAGATACGCCTCTAATGAAGCATTTGGTAGTCTAAAAATGAAATCATCAAAAATATTTTTCTGTTAAAATGACACATATGACAGTCTAAGTTTCGAGTCAGTCGAAAGTATTATTTTCTGTCAGTTCTGTTACACTTCCATATGACATCATATCTAAATTAGAACTTTAGTACAACACATTCTGTACACTAAGACACTGGTAAAAGCTACAGTGAACAGAAAGATTTTTCACCTAATCAGCTTTTGATAGATGACTGTAACTTCGTATGGTTCCATATACTGCTGTTTTAACTATAAGAAAAACATACAGGACTAATTCAATTCCAGTGCCTCTTTCCTATTTTTAAATGAAATGAAATCTAACAATGCATGTTATAGACAAAAACAGTATCACAAGGTTATACTTCAGGATTTTAACCAACCTAATTAAGATTTAATTGGTGGATTGTGACTAGTAGTGGAATCCAGGATGCACATTTCGTCCTATTTAGGACTCGTCATATGGATGTACCTGCATTCCCCAGCCAGTGATGATGTTCCCAACGAGGCTTGAACCCAGTACCCATAGTTTCAAACGCCAAAGCGTGGGAGCATCATCACTCACTGTGAAATGCAGGTACATCCGGATGACGAGTCCTAAATAGGACGAAATGTGCATCCTGGATTCCACTGTTAGTCACCATCCACCAATTAAATACTAACTAAATGCCCAGACATCGTCGAAGCATCTGCATAAGAAGTCGACATGTCAACCTGAGATCGAGCACTTCAGTCCAATCAATCGACGGAAAAATCTCAAATTCAATTAAACCTATTTAAGAGTTAACATTTTTTATATTTCATTCCAAAAGTAAGACGGAACTTTAAAGTAGCATGCGTATGGGCTTATGCATGCAAGTCTAAACAGGATAAATAAAGGCTTGTGTTCATTTTGTCTGCATTCTCTGCATATATGAAGAAAATGGAACAAAGTTAATCGACTGCATTATATACACTACGAATTCCATGTCACCTATGTTATTGATACTTGAAGCAAATTATTTTTTTTATTCCTTCACATTCCCCAGTGGAACATACGGCTTCAAGCTAGAGGCTTGAAGTTTCTGTAGCAGTGGTGTTCATTTTTACAGGATGGGGTTGCTAGCCTCATGCCCAACCTTTCCTTCTTACCAGGTTTATTTCCGGCTAGCGAGGTAAAGGAGTGCGTCAGTCGGCGATCGGACTCCGGACCACCTGCGTGGTTGGAAAGCATCCTAAACGCTGTGCCACCGAAGCTGAAGCCAATTATGTATATCTTTAATAATGGGGGATACAGAGCGTCTCTATTATCAGATAAACGTCGCTACTTTGGTTTGGTTTGATTCTTGGAGTTGATTCACATGTTCTGAAGAACAATACTTAAAAAGACAGAATACAGAGGTTAATTGTATACGTTTTGATTTTGTCTAGAAGCTGAAATATGTTCCCTCACTACCCATCTAAACCGTCTAATCATAATAAGAAAAACAGTAATATGAATGTAGCATACAATTAGACTTGTATTTTTTAAAAATTTCTTCACGTGTTGAGTGGAACATAGACCTTCAAACTTTCAGCTTTGATTTGCAGCAGTAACAGTAGTGTTTTTTATGTGGTGGAGTTACTAGCCTCACACCCAATCTTCTATGTTTACCGGGTTTACTACCGGCTAAGTGAGGCTTAGGAAATCGCTGACCGTGGTTTGAACCTTGACTACATGACAAAGCTAAGAGCCTTCTATCAATAAATTGCAGATGTACACACATCAATATATGGCAATTCATAAAAACTTGACACTCAACAATATTATGTAGATCCCAAAGCTGAGTATTTTATTTTAATAATTAAGATTTTAAATGCGCTTCTGCAAAAGTAGAAATGTAGCTTAAATTTATTTACTTATATCAACAAAAGTTTGCGCCGGTGGCATAGCGATTAGGACGCCCTCCGACTATGCACATGGTCCAGGATTCGATCCCCGGCTGACGCACTCCTTAACCTCGCTAAGCGAGAAATAAAGCTGGCAAAGAGGGAAGGTTGGGCATGAGGCTAACAACCTCATCCTGTAAAAATAAACACCACTGCTACAGAAACTTCAAGCTTGTAGCTTGAAGCCGTATGTTCCACTGGGGAACGTGAAGTAAAAAAAAATATCAACAAAAAGGAACTAACTTTGTTCTTAATTGCTTTTGAATTTCTTTATTAGTCGTCGTAGTAGTAGTAGCAGCAGTAGAAGCCGTATACTGTTCGAGATCAAGTACAGTGAGTTTCTCATAAACGCTTTTGTCACCAATAAATATTCTGTTTGATATTTCAGTTGTTTCAGGCGATAAACACTGTGAACTAATTTCATTATCTGTATCTGTATTATTAAACAAACTATCACTCTCTTTCTGTAAAGAAGAATCACTCGGTCGATATTCCTATTAAATGAAATTAATCAAAAAAAACAAGGAAAAAGGATAGTAGAAAGGTAATGTGTACAAGTAAAGGGAGGGAAATTCATAGGCTAACTAAAGTTTCCTTCATCTAATGATCTGTCAATTAGAAGATGTCAGTAGTGAGTGTTTTGCTTTTTCATATTCAAAATGAAAAAAGTCAGTCGCGGTAGAATGCTCGTCACGTGGTTCAGAGTTCCGTCCGGGGCTGATGCACTTCCAAACTTCTCTTAGCCTGGTTAAAAGGGAAAGTTGGGCGTGATATTGTCGTGAGAGCTGGCTGCTACCCAAAAATTGGGAGACAGTAATTTACGTCAATGTTTACGCCCCCAATATAGGCCGTGAGAAAAATATGATCAAAGACTGACTCAACAACCATTCACAGAAGACTTTGCCTAGGCAGATACAGTTAACATATAGATGATCTGACATTCAAGAAACAATCATAAAGAGATGAAAAATTAACTTTCTGGGAGAAACCACCAATCAGAATAATGTGTTTGTCTGCTAACAATAATCTATAATATGTACATGAAAATCTATAAATATGTGTTGATTTCCTTACTAAAGGATCTGTTTCCTGGCCCTTGTCTTCTGCTGTTACAATACCACCGACCCCACCCCTTAAAAAAGGAGTAACACCACTGCCACTGAATCTCCAATGGTCATACTAGAAGTCCTATGTTCCACTCGGAATACAAAATGGTGAAATGAAAATAAATACGCACATATGTAGGGATACTGAGTTACAAAAGCTACCTTTTTTAATAGGCAGTAGTTCGTTTGTTTAGTCACTAAGCCCACATTGGGCGTAATTCGTCTCAACGTCTGATGTGTGTGTGTGTGTTAGAACCTGAAATTTTTCGCCTCTGTATTTTGTTTAAAAAATAGCTAATTATTAAAATGTTAATTTTACCAAATATTGCAACAGTAAAAAAGCAATATGAAGAAATACCTACGTACTAATCGATTCTGCAACAGCTACAACAACAAACAACAATCAGCATAAATGGGAGTAACCTGAAAGAAACAACCTCCTTTACCTACCTTCCTGGGAAGCATCGTTTCAAATACGGGCGGAACTGACGAGGATATCAAAGCAAGAACCGGAAAAGCAAGACAAGCTATTACTCTCAAGTCTATGTGGAGGTCAACAGCACTCGGCATCAAAAACAACATCCGGATTTTCGACTTCAATGTGAGGTCAGTGCTACTCACAATACGGATCAGAGACTTGGCGCGTCATAAAGAGCATCTGAAACAAACTAAAGACCTTCATTAACAGTTGTCTTCACTCAATACTGAAGATCAGATAGCCGGCCAGAAAACATCAGCAACAGGGATCTCTGTGCGATGAGCGAACCAACCCAGCAGGAACCGATTGTGAAACAAATAGGCAGGAAGAAATGGAGATGGATTGGCCATACTCTGAGGAAACCATCGAGTGATATCACTAGGCAAGCCATTGCTCGAGTGGAACCAGGCCGAAAGGGAGGCGGTGAGTTGGTCGTCAGTGCGAGGGTGACTCGGAGGAGGTAATGTGGAGAGGAGATGAAAGCATGTGGGCAGAACTGGAGCCAGGTGAAAACTCTAGCAGAGAACCGAACACAACGGAGATGAGTGGCTGAAGCCCTATGTTCCTCTAGGAATTAAAAGAAATAATAATAATAATAATCGATTCTGCTACAAATATAAATTTTTAAGGAAGAACTGTACAGATCATAAGAAAATATGAATCAGAGTATTTTAGGAGTCGTTTTACTCTACATGTCAATATAATCTATGGGTTGAACAAAAAAAACACACGTTATACTTTTACATGAGGACATGAAGCTGATTAAGATTAGAAAAGTAACATATCTTACAACATTTATCAGCTAGTCCAAGAAAATATAAAATCCAGTGCTTAATAAATTGGAAAAACGTTAACGTAAGTATGCAGGCACAACGGTGTCAGCTAAAAATACCACTGTAAATCTACTTTATAAACATGAGTCCCTTGGTTTTGAACAGGATGTATTAAGTAGTAATACAGTTTCAACCGATAACACTTCTTAAACTTTCAAAGAAGGTTCGACAGTAGGCCTTGAAACGTTTATGTATACGATTTTAGGATGGAACTTGAAATAAGGTAACTTTGTATAATCTGCATACTGACAGACAGACAAGAATCCTTGTTTACATCAACGCTGACGTACTACGTGACTTCTCATGGTGATGCAATTCACTATCTTAATCAACTTTTAGCGTTGATGTTCGCGCAGTCATTGACAAGTGCGTACTTCCTACTTAGTAGCGGTAAAAAGTTTAAAACTAGTGGTACGATTCCTCTGATAAGTCATTACAGGTAGCATATATAATTCTATTGGCCTGAATTCTCTTCTGTAATCAGCCAACTTAATCCGTCGCACTTTTATATTAAGACCAGCTAACCTGTCAAAGTTAGGTGAAACAGTTTTGCCAGCACGCTAAAAATTACCTACTGTCCTTCCAAAACTTTCGATTAGGGTTATGTCTGAGACCATCTGTTTTATAGAAGAAAGCAAATAAACCATGTCTTCGGTGCTTGCATAGAAACGTAATTAAATTTGAAAGCACTCTGCTATTTTGGATTCATAATGTTGTTTAGCACTCTGATTTACCTGTTTCTTGCATCTGACTATAACTGGTGGGAAGCTAGAGTAGGTAAATTCATATTTTATTTCATCTGAATTATCAGCCTGGTCATTCGGATAGTGAGGTAATGGTTGTTTGCCGTCTGAGTAGCGAATGTCATATTCGTTATTGTATAGATATGACAATAACCATAGGGAAGGTTGATTCGTTTCACAAATACTCTGAAACTTTTTTTGTCCATATTTATTCTCTCGCGCACAAATACAAACAGAATATGGATAATAATCTGACTTTGATTTCATCAAATTTTCCATTTCCTCCATGTATGCGTTTTCACCAACATATTTCAAACACTTGGTACTGGAAAGACTATTACTTGGAATATGGATGAATTCATATACCTCATTTTCCACTGGCTTTTGATACAGACAATCTTAGGGCTGGCAAATTCTTCTGATGAAGAAGAAGAAGAAGTGAAGTTAATGCTTGACAGAGAATAACATCTGGACACCTCTCTGATTAAAGCATTTGTTTGGTGAACTAACTGTTCATCACTGTCTAGAGATAATGAAGTATCATCCATACATTGCTCTTCATTATCATCATCATCATCTGATGAGGTATTGGTGGATTCATTTTGCCATTCTTTGAATAATTTAGAGGTGAATTTCCCTCCATTTTCTGGAAACGATTTATTCAACTTGTGTGAAAATGAAGAAACTGATGGAGACCATGGAAAATGTAATCTCTGAATACCTTCAGTCTTTTCTACATCACAAACAGCCGGTTTCTTATTCATATCATAAGATGATGGAAGTATTGATATAGTCGATAATGAAGATGTTAATGAACGTGGCGACTGGGTAAAAGAACTTGTCTTCGTAGAACTAAATGTTTCTATTGTTTGACTACTAGATAATACTCTTGAAAAACAATTTTTTTCTTCAGCTGTTATTTGATCAGATATTTGTGGACTGCACGAATGGTCAGTTTCTAAAGAAAATGGGGGAAGGAAAGTGTTGGATCTGCCATTTACAGTTAGATTTTTAGAATAAATGAAACATGAAATATATAAAATTATTGAACAATATTCAGCCCAAAATGACAATTACGAAAATTAAGACGTAGTTATAACTGAGTTTTATCAATAGACCATCGACTGATAGCTTAGTGTTGTCTCGTATTTCATAACTCATTAGATTATTTTTGTTTTATTTTTTTTTATTTACAGCTTGATTCCATACTGTATTTTTGGTACAAGTATGGAATTTTCAGCATATGATATCGGTAGTCCGAATTTTGCGGGCCGACCATAGATATCAGGTGTGCGTCGGCAGGGGATCGAATCTCGGACCATGTGCATGGTAGGCGAGAATCCTAACCACTGTGCCACCGATGCACAGATGCTATAAGCAGCCAGCCAGACGGACAGCCACACACCCGCTTCACGCTCGGGACTAGACCGCATTGATCATCATCGCTGTTGGTTAACCAGGGTCAAGTTTGTTTGACGTCCTGGTGATACGTACTATAGGACTGATCCCTAGAAGTACGATTAACATTATTTTCCCGTGAGTGATGCTAATGCGTGAATTTACCTACCAATAACTGTGACTATTTATGAAATGAGAAGCTATGAAACTGCTGTAATAACAAGTTAGTTTTTCTGCAAACGCTCTAAATATTATTTTGTTGATAAAATCCACTTTAACTATTCGACTGAAGTCTCACTTGGTATATGAATTACGATAGACAATATAGTTTCGTTTTCCAATAATCCCCCATTTGCTCCAAAGAATTTCTTATGGGTGAGTATTATTTGCCTAGTTACTACTCTAGTCCCTCTATCTCTCTCATGTCATCACTGACTAGACTGTCAGTTTATTCTAACTGACCACCTGTTAATCTTAATCTATCTCGAAATCAGTCTAAGTTGTGTTAGAAATGGGATTGAGAAAAACTTATTATCAGTCGACTCAGAAATAAAAAAACAGTTTATTAAATGCAATCGGCCACCACTTAAAACTGAAGTCAGCAGATGAGACAAACTGGAGTTATACTACTCAAAAAAGGGGTTCTGATGTGAATATTGTCTACATCTGATCTCCCTTGAGATCCTCAAAATATTGTATATTTCACGTTTTTGTCTTATGTTATTAATTTTTTCATCATTTTGCCTGCTGTTTTACTGTGTGATTGTGACGCATTCATTACAAAGTTGTGTTATTTTGCCTTAAAATAATTCAGATTTGTTCAGATATCTTAATTGAGACGGTTGTGTTTACGTGAAAATGCATAAATCTTGATAACACATCTGTGCGTCGGTGGCACAGTGGTTAGGACTCTCGCCGACCATGCACATGTTTCGAGGTTCAATCCCCTGCCGACGCACACCTGATATCTATGGTCGGCCTGCAAAATTTGGGCTACCGATACCCATGCTGAAAATTCCATACTTGTACCAAAAATACAGTGTGGAATCAAGCTGTAATCAGAAAAAATAAAATAAATGTAGGTTAATAACTGGACTTAAATTGGTTACAGGATTTCATCAAGAGTTGACATTAGTTAGAGAACCATTGGAAAATCTGGGAGTACTGGACGGCTGTTTCGTCCTCGTTTGGGACTCCTCATCAGTACGCACCCATCGCTACGGTTCAAACCTGGGACCTTCTGGTTACAAGGCGGGCTCGTAGACAATTAAGCCGCTGGGACCCGATCCAATGGCCAATTCATGAATTCCACTTCTGCCAATTCACGACGTAGCGCGACCGCTAGCCAATGTCTTCGGGGAGTATTTGTCCTCACACCCGACCTGCTGCACCCTATTGGTCACGACTTCCTACTAAAACCTACCTGAATAGGGCAAGTCGCTAGTGAGCACAATTAATACAATGACTATGTCCTACAATGTAGTAGCACTGACGACACTTAATTAACTTCGAACTCACTAGAAAGAAATTTCAGTACTTGATTTTGGCATCCATAGAATGTATGAAAAGGTTTAAGAATTTGTCTGTCTGCCTAGTTTAACTAGGCAGCTAAGAATCTCCATGTCTCATTACAGCTGTAAAGTGCTTGACTAACAATTAAATGACAAATGTATTATGCAACTGTTCACTGCATGTTATTGTTTTCCACTTGTGTTCGGATAACAAAATGAATAATTCTTGTGTTGTGATTTTTGAATTGTCGAGAATTTGTGATAGTTATCATAGTTATGGAGTCACCTCATTTATGTACGGGTTAAAGAACGGATATGCAGAAGGAGGCGTCGGTGGATTATTCGTGGAACACTGGCCAACTGCACAAGTGGTCCGGGTTTCGGTCGCCGGCTGACACATACCTTTACCTCGCTTAGCCGGTAATAGGTCCGGTAAAGAGAAAAGGTTGGGCGTGAGACTAGCAATCCCACCCCGTAAAAATAAACACCACTACTACTACCGAAACTTCGAAACACTAGCTTGAAGCCATACGTTCCACTGGGAACGAAAATGAATGAAACGCAAAAAAAGTACAGAATAAGACCTAATAGAGGCTAGAGAGCTGTGTATGTGTTATTTGCACACGAAGTAGATGACAGCAGGTCTGATTTATACAGTCAAAACATAAAATTTGTGTTCAGAGTGATACAGATTTTAGAGGTCAAGATTTGCAGTTTGTGTGTAACACACCTTGAAATCGGATTGGCCATACTCTGAGAAAACCATCAAGTGACATCACTAGACAAGCCATCACTCGAGTGGAACCCGAAAGGGAAGAGGTGAGTTGGTCGTCAGTGCGAGGGTGACTTGGAGGAGGTCATGTGAAATGAGATGAAAGCATGTGGAAGAACTGGAGCCATGTGAAAACTTTAGCAAAGAATCGAAGGCAATAAAAACGTGCAGCTGAAGCCCTATGCTCCTCTAGGAACTAAAGGAAATAATGATAATGTAATAAATACACCTTGAAATCAGTCGCAGCAATGAATAAATCACCTTTAATATAAACTATATGTATTCTTAATTGAATCTTACATTCCTTCAGTTTACTGGTCTTTTTTATTTTATTTTATAACGTGGCACTCTTAATCTTTGTGAAAGTTCTCATGTCTTTTGTACACTGCCATCATACCTGTTGGGCATGAAAAGCCGCTTTTCATGCGCACTACAATAGCGATTTTACACCTGAAGTAAGTTTTTTTAAGTGTTCTGTCAAAAACAGTCATTTGCGATTTTATGCAACCTTCACCTACCATTACTTCCAGGATTTTGTTTATTTTTTGAAGTAAGTAAGTTTGTTTCACTTTTCATAGATTTATTACAATTACTTGATTGAATGACAATATTCCATGAGCTAGTACCATAGCTACTATTATTACTGCTATCTGAATACTCTGTTGGCGTCGTAAAGCTTTTCATCTGTTCAGTTAACACAGTGGGTGAGGTTGGTAGAGATTGGTTCGATCTGGATAGAAGAGATGAACAATTATTACCAAGGAAGATATTTGCGGAGTTTGAACGACGATCTTCTGGACTGTACTAAAAACAAGACAATCAAAGGAGATCAAAATATGACAAATTAGATTGACCAATTCTCACTTTATATTTACCACCAATGATTATACATCATAACTTATTATCTTAAACAGAATCAAACGTATAATTGTCACCTTTATTACCTTTCGCATTGTATAGCCAGTAGGAAAAACAGTTTATCTGTTCACCGTTATATATTAGATTTTTCAAAATTATCACTCATGACGAATAAACTAAATACCCGGATAAACGTAATATCTTAACAACTCGTTTAATATCGGACTTATTTTACACATAGTTCAAAACATTAGACCCTTTTTGTTTCCGGTAGAGAACTTTGTTACCGCTTGACATGATCAAGTTATTCAGAAGAAAATCACTGGGCGAGTAGACTGATTTTCTGCCATTGTCCGAAATCGTTAAAAGAGCGGTTATTAAGTTAGTTCATGATAGATGTCCAGTCTTCATTCCTCTGTCTGTTATACCGGAAGACTGACTAGGGGATCACTTACAATGGTTTTAGTTGATTTCTACATAAATTATCTGTGATGCACACAAATGAGTTTCAAAAGCTATGTTAAGACTTATAACAACAGTAAATCTTGCAAGTTACAGGTAGGACAAAACGCCTGTCCCGCGTTTCATCGTAAGAAGCCCTCAACTGAATAGAAGAATTTTTATATTGTACTGATATTAATTATGCATCTGGTGTATTTGACAGTTTCAAGTTTAAATATTTGACGTAGTATGAGCATACGAAAGAATTCATTTTTTTTATATTTTGAACCTGTAAAGATATAATGGAGAGACAACTGATGTAGTAATGAGAAAAAAGCACTGATTGAAGAGAATCTGAGCTTGTATAGCTTTAGTTTGTCAGATATTTGATTAAACCAGTTAAATATATTGAAAAAAATCACAAATTTATTTGGGCTACACAAGTTAGAAGAACAATTAAACATTACTGAAACTTTTTCTAGTGTTGGTCAACAGGGATTTGATTATATCGGTTGTTGGTTGAGCTATATATCAAAAACTGGTAGAAGTTGGAATTCAAGCGCCATTGGATTTCGTCTGAATGTCTGAGTGGTCAGCTAGCTGTCCTTGTAACCCTGAGGTCCTGAGTTTGTTTCCCAATAGGGTCATAAGTTTAGAAACTAGTGGAAAACAACTGTCCGGTACGCTCTGGCCTTCAATAATTCTCTAGCCCAAGTAGCTTCATAGTCAAACTTATTGAAAACTGCTAAACCAATACAGAGTCAAAATAAGGAAACTACTAGATATTTAAAATGTTTTACTCTGCTTGGTTTTAGCAGTTCAAGGAATACTAACGATCGATTTTAGCAAAGAAGTCACTTATTTAAACTTTATTATAACGACGACCTTACTTCAAATATAAAATAATGATAAAGTCAAAATTACCATCATTGCTTCAGTTTGTCAGATTTTCGTATTTTTGTTATTTAAATGTTCATTTCATTTTGCCTTCTCCAACCACTTGATATCATTTAATGTGATACTGATGTTTATTATATGTAGGCTATTTACGTACTCTACCATGTTGACAAGTATGGGCTTGCGATAAACTGAAATCAAGTATAAAGGATTGGAAGTGTAATTACTTGTGATATTTCATAAGCAGTACACAAAGAAAGAGATGAATACAGAACTGAAACTGCTGACATTTCATTGATACAGCTAAAATGATTTATTCTGATCTGTTTGTTATCCTAAATGCCAAAGGTTGCATCAAATTATTCATCTATTTTTAAGTAGATTTTAAAATGTATTTTTACTAATCTTAAAGTGGCAGTAAAGTGTATGTCTTCCTCAATTTTTTTGAGTCCCGAACGGAAAACAGGGCTTTATATTTGAGCTTTGGAGTTTCAGAGGCGTTGGAGTTGCCTTTCTTAAGTGGTGGGCCTGCCAGCTTGGAGCTCAGTTCTTTCTCCTTACCGGGTTTACTGCCGGAGAGGACGTCAACCAGGAATCGAGCCCAGGCCACATGGGTGGTCAGCAAGCATTTTGCCACTAGACTACTGGAGCACCATAAACAAGAGAGTGCTGGACAGCTATTTCATTTTTACATGAGACGCTTCACCCATGATCCTACCAGGAGTCGCACCCAAGACCTCTAGGTTACATGGGTAGCAAGGCCATTTCTCTGAAGTATCTGGGACATTGTAGAAACATCGGGCGAAACAACGTTGGGTGCACGTGAGGTTGTTGGACTTGCTTGGTCTACTTCTGTCCCGAAGTTTCAGCATTGTTCTCGATACTCTTATGAACTGACTTAGCATACTACTGACCAAGCCATGATTCTCTGCTTAAAAAATATAAAGCCAGTCAACACTGAACTTCATCAGAATGTTTACCACATCCTTCTTGTTGTTATTTTAACATTGAGTTTCTACTTGTTGGTGGGTTTGCTGACTTGGCACACGGTATTGGATGAATGAGTAAGGAATTCATGAACAAATAGCCTAGCTCAAGAACGCGCACACAGACAAATCATAGATCATCAACTACTTACTCAGAAGGGCACTCGGTTTCTCCTTTTAAGTTTAGTTACAGCCTGATGAAGAAATTCGAACATGGCAGCGCAAGCTGCACTTCCATTTTACTTGAGGTTATAAGAATGCATTTACGCCATTTGTAGACGACGTAATTATTCTAACCTCAGTGGTGACTCGCTTTTCCAGAGTTGGTAAATGAAGCTTATAAGCTTTTACCTACATTATCCTTCAGTTTACCGATAAAATAGGTTAAAATGCATATTTTAATATTAATTTGTTTGTAATCTTGACTTTAATACACATGATTTTCTCATGCAGACACTAAGTTCATGAACATCCAAATATCAGCACTTCATTTGTAGTGACTTCGATACCTTGCTATCTAGCATGATATTCACAGACTATTCCCTCTATCATAAGCCGTTAGAATGCTGTATTTCTTTGTCTGTAGTCCAGGCCGCACAGAAATCTACGCGATTATGACTCTCGGGACTACCTTTCAATCACCGGGTAGGGGTTTGAGAATATTCCACCCCCAGGAAGATGTAGTCGCGTTATGCTCATGCTGCAGTATCCTTGGTCAAGACTCCAGCACAACCGCACTTGCGGAAAGCCGGCTTATATCCCATTATTTTCGTAGTCTTATCAGTGGAGTGGGATACAAAAGAAAAGTTGTAGCTATTCGATGGCGTGACACAACGCTTCATCCCATGGGCGCGATCAAAGGGTCAAAACACTTCCCTCTATGGATAAACCAAAAGATTAGTGATCTACTTAGACATACACGACTGGTAGAGCCTGTTTGTCCCTCCTGACACTTCGGAGTCCAGTAAGCTGTCACTACAACCAAAACCAAGGCTATTAAGGAATTTGTTGATTATGCATGAAGTCCCAAATGCAACTGGTGCAAAACTCATTGGTACAACTCAAGAAAATATTTTCATACTTAGACCTTAAGAATAAGACGTCCATCAGTGTTTCAAACCTGATTGCTTATAACGGCACAAAAAAGGATCAGCGAAAGGCGGAAGTCATGCTAGACCAATTTTTCAGTCTTCATTCAGGAGTTATCACTGCCAGTTGCATTAGCTCTGGCCACTTCAACATGAAACAGCTTGGTTTCTGTCGATATCTACCAAAAAACTGTACTCCAGTTCCTAAATAAACTAGGTATATAGGAGTCTACGCGATCGGATAACTTTCAAACAAGGCTTCTCATGGATCTGGTAGCTCACATAGGCTACCCGACGGCTACTACCTTCAGACTACCTCTCCTAAATGAAGTATTACCGTGTGGTTGAAAAGATACCATAGTAAAGTCCATGTACAGAAAGGAGAATCTAGGCACTACTGGTCTTGCTTGACTTTTGGGCAGGACACTAGTGAATAGCCAACAAAGCTACCATTGAAAATTTGGAAAAAACGACTTGTTATCCAACTAAAAACGCCACCTCCTGGGAAATCTCATGTGCATTAGAAATCTTTTAGAAAACAAAGTCTGGATCTAGCCTACGGACAACAAAAAAATCTATAATCGTCCTTTTCATTTAATGCAGCAAAGTTTACGAGTAAATACCTTACAGAAGGCTGCTCACGGAGTTGGAAAGGGTGGTCTGTTAAAATTGATCGAGGAATTGCCAGTAGGTAGGAGACTGAGAGTAAGAATTAACTAAAAACTCTCTTCATGAACAACGGTATGTAGTGGTGTATTACGAGATACTGTTCCTGGCCCACATAATTATTCTGTATGTCAAACAACCATATCTTCCAAGGTTCTATAGTCAGATGGCCTAAAAACTTTAGAGAGCGCTTAAAGATGATAGTGACATACTTAGACTGTAACAGTCTGTTAGAATGGCCTCAAGAATAGACGCCCAGTGTGGCAATATGAGTAGTCGCAAGCATTGGGCACCCAAGTGTCAGACCACATGACATAGTTGGCTTATTGCTCCCAGCTCAGACGCTGCCTCCAGACAACCAGTCATTTTCCTAAGGCAAGTTCATATATCCCAAAAAGAGTACAAAGATAGGCTTGATATGTGATTCTCTGTGTGACCAATTCATCATATGATTGAAACTTCAGGTATATTCTTCTTACCATACTGAAGATAGAAAGGAGGTTTCATCATCATTTTAAAAACGGTAAGAAATAACTTCGGACCGGATAGGTGTTATTTTTTCATCTCTAACATGGCAGAATACCTTAAAAGATATGGTAGAATGGTTTAAAGACGAGGGAGGAGCCGTATCGCTGTGAAATTCTGGTTCTCCAGCAAATAATTAAACCAACCAACCACCACTTAAGTAGTGTCTGAACCTCAAATGGTCCGTCGAAGGAGGGATTAGACAAGTAGAGATACTTATTAAAAGATGATTAACATGCATTCGAAGCTATATATACACAACTAAAAATACATAGCTGTATGTACAAGATACATTTTCAACATTGGTACTAATACGTATATATACATATCGGTACCGATATGTATATATATATATATGTATATATATATATATATATATATATATATATATATATATATATATATATATATATCAACTTCAAATTTAATCAGCTGACTGTGGTTACGTTTTCTTTATTTCTTTTTCTGTCTGTTAGTCTGAATAACTTCACTAATTATATCTATTATTATCTCTTTACTTTTGATGACAGTACCAGAGGACTAATTGATGAAAGGGTCATCTCCATTCACAGTAGTAACAATCTAAACACACCTCATACTACAAACAATACCATGTATAATTAATCCCAGCATTACTCCTTTTGGAGTCAACCAAAGCTACGACAGTCGAGTGGCGGAAGGAACTACGCAGAAGTTTATCGAGGATCAGGGACCTTTACCTCACATTCAAGAGGTGAGCACAAGGAAATCAAAATGGTTTATACTAGTTCGTAAAAACGACACTGGATATTGAAATACTCATGTTTCTGCTAGATAAGCTGTCAGTGGAATACCTTTATCAATAAGAGTATTTGCAACAGACGTCATAAAGAAGATTCAGTAATTTAACCTGTATTTAACAAATTTAGGTGGAATAATGCGATGAAAATCGTAGAAACGCAATAACTACCTAGAAATTCAATTTACCACCTTTTTCAACATCCAATCACCTGCAACGTATGGTGGTTATTAATATTAAATAGACGAAGGACAGCAAATTTACTACGATTTGTCGAAGCGATCGCAATCAAACGACTTAAACCAGACTTATGCATAAAGAAAGAGAGTGTGGTTAACCTCTCACTCCCTTGGTAACAGAATTTTGATTTTGATTAGTCATCTAATTCAGTGATCTCAACTCACTGAACAAATCTTAATCTCACAAACTGTAACCGCTTTTGTTTTCTGAGTTGCTATGTGAACCTAAAAGCTAACACTGTTCTGTTAATCAATTTTTCTGTTTTCTCTCTTACCCCTTCCCCTCTTTTCATCTTTGAAAGCGTATAAATTGATGATGAAAACTTAAACTAAAAAAATTGTAATGCTTTCATTTTGGATGCGTCAATTTTATAGTATCTCTTCTCTACCACCATTCAAACATTAAAGTATGTCATTATCATCTATAAAGCCATTGTAATTTCAGGTAGTCTGCAGATGATAAGAACCTGTGAAATAGAATGATGTCATTTTATACTGCAAATTTCGTCTTCCTTTCTTTATCAAAATTTATCAAGGGAACCAAATGTATGAATTTTTTGAAAAATACCTTGTTGGTAGAAAGTTTTATTTTGGAGTTTCGACGATAGATCGTAAGTTGAACCTTCTGACAGTATCACTGTTTGCTGTTTACTAAGCTGCTATTAGTTCACTACCGAACACGTAATAACTTTCAGATGACTACCATCTTGACAAATAGATTATTAGTTGCATCGAGGTCTCACATCTGGTGGTTTTAGTAATATGTGACCATATGAAAATTGGTTAGTGCAGAATTAAAGGTTGTTGACAGGCCATCTAAGTGGTGCAGAATCCTCAATGTACTTCTAGACCGACTTGATCAACGAGATGAGTTGCTAGTTAGCACACCCAAAATCAGTAGAGAGGTTATCTCATTCACATCAGAGTAAGGAATCTAAACGAGCGCTTTCAAGTTCTGTGTGGGCGTCAGATTTCGTAAAAAGACTTCGGGTGATGTTTACCAGTGTATAGAGTACTGTGAAAAATTCCACGGGCTAGATGTAACGGTGGATGAACTGAGCTCAGCTGTCGTAGCAGACACCAAATGATAGTTGTTTTATGATTTGAATTAGACACTCTACCTGTCGGAGGTCAGCTGTCTTCAATGATGTGATAACTTCGTGTTAGAGAACACTGAACAGAGGAGTAAAATTAGCATCCAACCTACTCCAGTCGACTTAAATGTAACCCATTTAGACGTTTCTTTTTTTATGGCGTCAATCAACAACTTTGACAGCAGATTTTACTTGACAGTTCTAGTAAATGCACTGGTCGAACATATCCTAGGGAAGAAACATTTTTATCTTACCCATGACTCTTACTTATCGGACCTGGTGCTGATGTACGACACAGGTGGTGGACATGGGATGCTAATGCCTAACATTAAGATTCTTGATTCAGTCTAGGATCAATCCAAAGTTTGGCAGCCGGATTTCTCCGCTATTAAGAAAAGTGCCACTGACTCTTCCATAGATGGTGCTTTAAAAAATTCAAAAATACCTTTGCAGTGATCACATTTGAATGTTTCTAGTAAACCAAAGTGTACTCACCTCACTGATTAACAGAGAATTTTCGATATTCCTAGGTTCGTGTTAATGTAATAAAACTGCTTTATCTTCATTGGGTGACTACAGTATTTTGAAACCGAAATCAGCGTAAGGTCCTGACATACAAGATGGGAAGGCATCGGAATCACACCTAATTGTGAGGTTACGAAGGTGTCCGTGAGACTCATTGGAAATGTGAAGGAAAAACCAAGAAAAGCGGCACTGTCCCCACCGTTCTACTTGATGAATTCCCTGTAATAATTTGATGGGCTTCTTTAATTAAGTATCGCCCGAAAGGGAACACACTTGCATTGGATTTCCTGTGGACTGACTTATGAGTGGGACCTAAAATCACGGAGAACGAAATCATCCCAAAATTAGATCTAGAAATCGAATCTGTTCACCGTGTCAGTGAGCCAGTCTAAATCTCTGATAATCTGAGAGGGTGCCACGATCAATCCACTGTTCAAAATGCTACCCAGATATTCAGTTAAGAACGGTGGACGACATATTTATGGATCCTGCAGGACTTTCGATAAGGTTTTTAAGACATTCCCTTGTACAGAGTTAGTTGGTTTTAGTAATAATAGGAGACTAGATTCAAAAATTCATTAAGGAAACAGAGTGAGGGTTAACGGAATCTTATCACCATGGAACTGGGTGAAGTGCAACATTCCTGCAGACTACCTATTTGTCGACTCGGCGGGGATAGGGAATATTTAGGTAAGCCGAGTTAGTGCAACATGCTGTAACAATATAATACAGTTATTAGGAATAAAAAATATCAGGGAGCTCATTTACTTGAGGGTAAAGTTAAATCCACTAGCCACAAACTTATTAAAATAATCTACCCGAAGTTCACCAATCTAGTCGTTGATGTTTCTCTGTAACGAGAATGCTACCTGTTGTAAGTTTCCAGAATTAACGATCAACTACTTCATTGGTGAAGGGCATTATTGCATATCCCTTGTAATCATAGAGTCATAGTCCGTTGCCATGGTGGTTTAGAGGCTGACGATAATGACATTCGCGGATTGTACGGAGTATACTCACAGAAGATCTAATGCCAACAACTTCTATAGTATTCGTTCCTCGTAAACTAAGGGCGAAGCAAAAGACCACAATTGATCGTCCAAATTACGAGATATATTTCGGGACCAAATCGTAGAGGAAGATGAATGCTTAGGTGGCTAGTGATCTTGCACGAAAGTGACACGATGGAATACCAAATGGCATGGATGCTTGACCGGAGGCCTTCAGCTAAACAAGTCGACTTACACAGTGGTGGTCAGCATCCAATGTTCAGTGATGATTGTTGTGGTCAATAATTTTGGGGAATTATTTACCGCTACAGCTCATTCCCCCTTAGTGGGGTGGTGAGGACCCTAAGACAGAACCGGCCGGAAGTAAAAAAACTTGATGGTTCCCCATTGGTAGAAAAACTCTTCCGAGAGGCTTGGCGGATCGCCTACTGGTCGTCTGCTTATGCTAATAGAGTGTCTGTGCATCGCTTCCTTGACTTTTGTCCATTGGATTTCGTGCTTCGTTTGCATCTGGAAAAGAAAAGAAAAATGCTAAAAGCTTTGTTGAAAAGATTTACCAGAAATAACGTTTGAAAAACGATATGCACCTAACATACAGTAAACTAATGCAAAAATTAGAACATCGTGAAAGTGTAAATCTAATTATTTTAGCGGGTTTAACATGTAAAGCTGATCAGTAGATATGATGGTGGTCACTAAGGTGAATCGCCCCATTTTGCAGGAACAGCAATATACAATTTGAAGGCTCGAGATATTTCTGATTTTTATGAGGGCTTAGATCTTTATCTTGAAAAAGATAATAATGAACGCCTAGACAGATCATGCTTCTACCTTTAAATATATACCATTCGCTCTGCCTATTGTTGAGATGCGACCACGTGGGATCTGCACAGATTTATGGGGCATATTATAAATTAACTTGCTATCCATTGTCAGATCTTTAAATACCACTTCAGTGTCTTGTCTCACTTATTTTCTAATAACGTCATTACTTGATCCTCATTATGTTCCATTAGGCCTAACATTTTATAGCTCTTTATGAATTTGATTCAACGCATTCTATACCTCTTCCTTGTAGGGTACGGTTGTGCACCAAATAGACAAGATATGAAATAAAAACAACTGGCTTGGAAATAATTGTATTAAAGCCAAAAGTGGACATCATTATAGTACGAGCTATATACGAGCATTATACATTGCAAATGAACGTTGTCACCCTAGGGATTATAGGCTTTCCCATTCTATTTCCTATATAAATGTATTTGTTAATAATATATTGCACCTACTTATTTTATTACACTTTAATGATTCACCTTAGCACTTTAACTTTTCTAAAACAGCTTCCAATCCCTTGTAAACGTTGTACTCACCTCAATATTGGTTGGTTATCGTATGCCTACAACCACGGGATGAAAACGAAACAAAGTCGTTTTTCCCGTGAAACTTGGAGGACAACCGTACAATTCAATAACTATACGACCTGGTTCAGGCAATGAGTGTATGTACATATATATATCAAATATTTAACTGTTGAAACATAATTAACTTGTAGACAATCTACTATTTGAGATTATATCATATTTGATCGTGCCTGTAAAAATGGCATGCATTTTCAAGTAAATTTATGTTTATATGAAAATATAAATTATTATTATGAAATTATTATTAGAAATTTCTTTTACTGGTGTTGCGGGAAGCAATAAAAAATTGATTTGCCTAAATGAAAAAAATAAATACCACAAACGATTAAGAGTTGGCTAAATCGCACTACTTACTTCCTTAATAATATATATATTCCTTCCTGTTTATGCAGGAACATACCAATTGTACAGGCATGGATAAGTTATCAAATAAATTACACATAATTTGGTGTGATGAATTTACAGTGTGGTGGTTCTTGCTGACATTAGAGTCCATCGGAACAGCCTGCTATAAAGTCTCTTTGTGTAGCACATAAAGAGATATAGAAATATTGTCTTCGCATTAACAAAAAACCCAGACATCAGATGGATGTAATACAAATATCTGGGAAAAATAAAGCTTGAAGTAAATTCTCCTATATAACTTTGTTGTGAACAGCACCCATGGCTTGGTGTTTATTGATGTATTATGTTGAGATCAGTGATATATCTATTCCACTTTCTCAGCAGTCTTATCGTAGTTTTATAACAGGAAAGAAATTTGATCGTGGATGCGAAAACTAAATAAGGTCATTGTCAGTCACGTCTCATAAACCGTTAATGCCCAGCTCTCGCTACGTTCGGGCCCACGCTGTTCCTTGCAGTTTTTCAGAAACGCTTAGTAATAACGGACGAAAAAACCAAAACACCGATTGGCTACTCGAGAATTCTTTATTGTAACACCAACATATAAAAATAATGTTTTTACTAGGGTCTGTGAACAAATATTACAATAATAAATCATAAGATTACTTCTGATGGTTTGCTACTGACTTCTTTCTGAACAGCGACC